TTCAGAAGCGCGAAGCGGAAAAGCCGTATGCGCACTACGCTCTCGAGGTCGACCTGGAGACCGACTCCGACTGCGTGTTTGCCCCGTACTTGGCGGCGTGCCAGTCGTAAGTTCCGAGTTGGGAGCCGTAGGATTCAGGAACAAAAACATTTCTCTGAACTTGAATAGTTTTGTGTTTTATGATGTTAAAAGCGAAGTTTATGCTGGTCATCTTCGACCCCTTTCCCCTCTTTCCATTTCTGTTACGACCTTGGGCACATTTTCACGCTTCAGCCTCTTCCGGTGTTTGATATACTGGGCCTGATTTGATTGGACGCCATGATGTAAATATAAAATCTTTTATGCAACGAGTATACAAAATGAAAAATTGCCGTGCGAACGGTAGATTGGACGTTCAATGGTCGCTCATGTGAGTTGCGCATGGGGTTTCTTCTAGACACAGATGGTGAATAAGAACCTTTCAAAGACGTCTTTTCTCCCCAGTACGCATGAGTACGCATGTGACCAATGATACCATTTCCGTCTCCGTATATATAGACTACCAGTTAGACCCGATTGCCAGAATTTGAAATATTTCCTTGCAGTAACGAGCGCACCGCACGCTTGGGGGGAAATACGATATCCTCTCTGTCCATCTCGTCCATCTCGGCCGGTCTCCCCCCCGAGTGCGACCGATGTATACATGTCGAGAATTAAAACCAATTTCCATGCGTACCAATCAGGAGTCTTACGATTTATTGTTCAGTATCCCGTGATGTATTACGCGGTTTTTATTTTTAATTTTTGGCTTCGTCATACACACTGACGTAACGCAGCTGTCCAGGTGTAACGCAGCTGCAGCTGTACAGGTGTATCGTGAAAATCTTGGGACGATGTGGGTTGGACAGATGAATGCGCTGATCAAGTTTACACAAACAAGACAGACAGGCATTTGTAACACTTTCAAACATGACATAATTCGCATGTTTTTTTACGTCCCTTTTTCGTACAAAATACGAGGTCGATGCCTTGTCCAAACAGCTTTTGTAGAAGCGTAATCGCAATGCAGCACATTTTCATGTATGACAAATGGCAGGAGCCGGGACATTATTAGGTTTGCCAGTAGAAATAATACAACAGAAGACAGGTGATATACTCCAAGCCACACTGTGGGAAAACAGTGTATTAGTAGTGTATTAGATAATTATGCTGAACAGTTCTGACACTGTCCAAAGCCCCATCAATTTCGCAACTGGAATCGTGGGTCAATTGAGGTCGTTTATGAACATAGGTCCAAGCACATTGTTTTGAAATTGGATCGATTTTGAATGCCAGAAGGAACATCGAATGATAAATTCGGCCTATCGATCAATCTAAATTCGCGTGATGTGCAATTATATAACAGCATCTACATTAAATGAAATATGCTCCCGTGGCTTAATGGTAAAGCAAATTGCATTTATTTAGTATAAACAAACTGCAATAGAATCGGGGTTCAAATCCTCGCGGGAGTAATGTTTTTAAAATCAAAGTTTATATGTATGCAATAAGTAACGTTAAAGGAATCGTAACTAGTGATGAATTATTGCCTTTGTTATTAGGATTTAAATTAGCTCCTAACTTCACTTTTAAAGTTGGAGTTGATCACGATCCTTCATTTCTGTATCGCGTCCTTTATGGCGTCCACACATATTCCTCCAACAACACTATTCCCTCGTCACCATTGTAAAGATTCTTCAGTTCCGTCTTCACTTTGCACTTCCGCCATTTAGCACCTTATGTTGTCATACACGACGCCGGTGACATCCTCGCCGTTGCCGCGACTCGACTCTCCTTGCAGATAGACCACGAGCCCTAGCAGAGGGAACTCTTAATCATGACGAGCTCGGGTAAGATCTCTCTCGTGTCATAATAGATTTCGGCAACGTCCCGCTGCGAGTGAATTCGGAGAGGCGTTATAATCTCAGGTTACGGTGATGACATACTCCTCCAAAAAGGGTAGTTCCGCAAAACTACAATGAGGCATTAAAATGAGACCGTGAACGCATAGTTAGTTTGTAGAATAGATTATGTATTATTATTATTTTATGTGGATGATATTCACTTCAGCATTACATCGATAAGCATTTTAGGAAAGAGACGCTCGAAGTAAACCCAGCATGCATTTGGACAAAAATATTGGGTATACGTGGTACTCGAATTGTGGAAGGTTAGGGACGGATTTTAGATCGCGGCTGTTGTAACCATTTCCAAACCTCGCAGGAATGTCGGTGAGAGATGTGGCAACCCAAGAAATCGGGATATTATTTATATCCGTGACAGAGATTATTAATAAAGGTACCAATCCAGATAGGCCATAAGGTACTTTAAATAAACTTCGCTGAATATAATTTATTGACGGAATTGCTTCCACGTGACCATAACGTCACCGTCAGCCACAGACACTACCGTGCCCCTGCATTGAAACTCATCCACGCCCGCAACTCGTACGCCCCCTCCGCATTCCCCCTCTGCCCACCTTTCAATAATCCAGCAAACCACCTCATCGACGTCCTTGACCCACACGGCGATACCCTTGTTCACTTCGCAGCCCGCGCCGCGCTGCGCATCCTGGTAACAGAATTTGGTGGGAAGCGCGGGCAGTGAGCGAGCATGGGCGGTAACCGAACCATGAGGCGATCTATTCTGCTGAGTGTGTCAGTTTCTGGTAGTGGAGCGTGGAACCAATTTCATGCTAGCTGTCAGGTGGAGCGCGCTCCAGCCATCCTTGTTAGCCATCCCTGGCGGTGACTGGGATTTTTATGACCTCAAAATTTCCTTTCATTGTTTTAGAGATTTATATATATGTTTGCAGACATCCCAAACTGTCCTTGAGCTCAGAAACGATTAATTTTCCGTGTAATCCTCACTTTCAACAATATTAACGTTTATGATTTATTTCATCATCCATCCTCCGCCTTCAGGCCACTATGATGCAACGACCTATCTCTCTCACCAGCACTCTCTGAACCTCAGCCTCAGGCCGCCTACCACTCGCACCCTGCGACCTTCATCTCCCTACTCATCAATTTTCCCCACCATTCTCAACCCCACTCGCCCAACATGACAACACAGGTCTTTTATTTCTCCCTTTCGCCGTCCTCAACGGCAACATCTGCACCTACCACGCGAACGCCAACAACGGGACCTGACGGGCCGTTAGCCTGCGCACCATGCGGCGATGAGCTGGCAGGAGGAAGTGTTGCGGGTGTTGTGGGAGGAGACTGGGGGAGAGTGGAATTGGATCCGGAGGACGAATGGGGTGGGTGGACGCCGCTTTTACATGCAGCGAGAGAGGGTCTTTTGGGGATTGTGAGGTGGCTAGCCGAGGTTGCGAGAGTGGGGGTTAGGAGGAGGGATAGGAAGGGAAGGCAGGCGGTGGAACTAGGTGAGTTTTTGGTGGGGTGAGTGGGACGGGGAATTACCGTTTGTTTTGTTCATTTATTACCGATTCGTGGATCGTCTTTTCGCATACTTACAAAATTTTGCTCACTCTTTCTCCTCCCCCTCCTCATCCTCGTCCTCCTCCCCCTCGTCTTCCTCGTCCTCCTCCCTTTGTAGCCGTAGCCTGGAACCATGTAGATATCGTCTTGTACCTGTCGTCGCCCCCCGGAGGACGACGAGCAGAACACATTCCCACGAAGGACAGCGCACAGGAGGCAGATGACAGATCGGCTAGGGTGCCTGAGACGGACGACTCGTGGGCTGGCAGGGACCGTCTCTTAGTTTAGATTAGGTGAGGGGGTGCATATGTCTCTGTGGGCAGGGTGCGTGGTGTGCTCTGAGGTGTGGGTCGGCTTGCGCGTGACTGTCGGGAGTCGCGCATCCTTTCAACACATTCAACACCAACGTAATCATACAATATTTCGAAAGTAGCTGATACTTGTTAAAGACGTAGCGTTTGAAAAAATGATATTCCTTGACGACGTAGAAGCCGAGCTCCATTGTGTAAGGGAGGGAGGGAATGTATGTGTGGATGTCCTGCGCCACGCGAGGAAATAGTGGGGTCTGGGTTGGTCGGCGGAAATCAATAACACGATCATGACCAGAATAAGCGACTGGTTTCAACCGGCCAGAGCATCCTCGAGAGCCACACGAGGGCGAAGGTTTGAAATCAGAATGCTGTTTTATTTTCTTGATTTAGATAAAATTGTTCCTCGCGCGCAGTGTAACAATACGTCTATTCAAAAACGCGACTACACCGATCCGGATAGGGCGCGGACAGCTTCGTACTTGGACTTGCAGCCCCAACTGGAAAAAAAACAAAAAACAAAAAAAGATTGATGATGGTGTTCTTAATTATTAAATCGAATGTATGCACTTTATTTATTTCTTTCTTTTTCTATGGACAAATGGCAGATACATAACGGAAGCCGGACCACTATTAGTAGACAGGTGACGCTCTATAATATATATACTCCAAGCCACACAGAGTATACCGAACAATTCTGACACACAGTCCAAAGGCAACTTGGAATCGTGCGTCATTTTGTGATAGGTGAGGACATTTACGAAAATCGATCGAAACACATTGTTTTATAAAATGGGTCGATTTTAAATACCAGAAGGAACAACAAAAAGTGTCAAATGAATAGAGACATTGAGGCGCATAAAAAATCGGCCTTTCAATCTAAATTGCAATTAGTTAGATGACAATATTAAATGAAATATGTTCCTGTGGCTTAATCGTAAAGCGACTGTAACTTATCTCCGCAGTATAGTATCGGGGTTCAAATCCAAGTGTGTTTTTGCTTGTCAGAATCGCGAACCTATGTCATTTTACTACCAAAGTTTAACTGTGAACATTTAACAACCTTTAATACCTATATCGCGTCCTCGACAGCGTCCACAGTTCTCGAAACACGGCACGATGTATCAATGCGACGCCTCCTTCAACCATCGCGCCACATATTCCTCAAACTACCCATGCCCTTGTCACCATTATGGAGGGCGTAAATCCAAATAATTACGTGTGTCACATTGCTCCTGTAGCTTAATGGTAAAGTGACTGCATATTTATATATCAATAATCGCAGTTGAATCGGGGTTCAAATCCCCGCGGGAGTAATATTTTTGCTTCTGATCATATTTTAACATAATCGCAAACCTATGATCAAAGGCTAACTGAAATATTTACATTTATGATTACGATCTTTAATCTCTGTATCGCGTCCTCGACGTCGTCCACAGTCCTGTCTCTAGTGCTGAAACACAGCACGATGTGTTAGTGCGAAGCCTCTTTTTTTTTTTTTTTTTTATAGTCACTTGGACTCCGCCTTTATTACCTAGTCTATGAATAAGTATACATCATCACCACCCACTACCCAATCCCCACAGAGGGGCTCCTCCCCACCTCTTCATGAATAAAGATCACCCTTTCACCAACTACTCCAACTCTCCCCTCACTCTATCTACAAATTTTCTCCACTAAGCGGTGCCTCCGACCACCCTGCAGCCCCTAACCAAGCCACCAGCCTGTTAAGGTGTCTTCCATAAGTTTATACTACTGCAACAACCAGTCCCCCATACCCTGTCTCCTCCTATCCTCAAAAACAAATAGCCAGTGACTAGCCAATCTCACCCAAATAGCCAAAGCCCAGCCCAAGGTAAGCCACTCCTTCCCTATCCCCCCTACCAATCGATCTCTCAAGTCCTCCCACCTCTCCCATACTTTATCTCCCCTATGTCGTACCCTCAAGTGTTCTCCAATTGCCCACCAAAATTCCCCCAACACCTTATACTCTCCTAGCCAATGTTCAGGCATCTGTACATAACCCCCCTCCTGCCCTACATTATGGCACTCCTCACAGTCGAACCAACTCCCTATGATAAGGTGTCCTGAGTGAAAGTTGAGTATTACATTCCTCCACAGTATGCACCACTAGACCACTCAGTACTTTGGCAGTATCTACTTTCTCACTGTGATACTCTAGGTCCAAACACCATACCAGTTCCATTCTTTACCAATTCCAACTCCTTGCCAACTGCTAGGCCACAGATCCTGGTCTGGTCTCCTTTGGCATTCCATTTCATCACCAATATCAAACTCAATTAAAGGAGTGCTACCCAGTAGTATACAATCCTATCTCCACATCGCTGAGTTCCAAGCTGTCTCTCCTTTATTCCCCTATCAACAAATTCTAATGCAGTACACTCCCTCCACTATCTCCCACCAAAAACCCTTATATTGCAGTTGTTTAGTGTTCCAAAGTCCAACCAATGAGAGGAGATTACCAGTTGAGTCTCTTGGTGATGACCACCTCTCCCAGATTTTCTACAACAGAGGAACCCAACCACCTCCTCTCAATTTCACTGCCCTCTTTAGCCACCATGCTCTCAAGCAGTACAACTATTTTGGAAAGTCAACCAGCCTAAGACCACCTCTTGCCACTAGTAAAGACAAGGTCTTCCAACCAATCTGACTCTACCTGCCAGCCCAAATCCATCTCTTCGCTGACTTCATCAATCTCTTCACCACCCAGGCTGGGAAGTCCAGATGATATACCAGATACCACAACTTTGGCAGCCAGTAGACATTCAAAATCAAGACCTGCCCTGCCAGAGAAAATTGTCTTCTCTCCCAACTCTGCAGGGCCTCCTCCCAGATTCCAATCCACTGCTCTCACCAAAGCCTGGGCAGAACTGACCCATAGACTGACAAATAGATGCCCAAGTACCACACTGCTTCACTGGTGGGGACGATTGTTCCTATAACCTCCCCTCCTACCAGGCCATTATCTAGCACTATTGTTTCACACTTATGCTAATTCAGCTTAGCTCCAGAGTTCTCCTCATACCACTCCACAGTCTTCTTGAGCTCTTTGACATCAGCAATCGATCCCAAACCAACCACCATATCATCTGCAAAGGCCCCAACTTTCCATCCAATGTCAAAGACAGAGAGCCCCACCATCCTCTACCTAATTCTGTTCATAAGGGGTTCTAGAGAAAGAGTATACAAAATAGGGGACAGTGGGCCCCCCTGAGGCACCCCCCTACCCAAGGGGAATGCTACCCCTCTATGTCTATTACACATGAGTGCAGCCTTACTTCCTTCCAGTAGGCTGACCATTGCTGACCAGAACTGGTACAGAACCCCCATTCTATCCAAAACTTTTGCCAGCCAGACTCATCACACCCAGTTGTAAGTCTTCTCCTAGTTCAAGAAGACTAGGTGCCCATCCAGTCCACAGGCCCTTGCCCCTTCAATAACTCCATGTACCCAGGCTGTGCCATCCCTGATGAGCTGACCACCCACAAATCCCCTCTGCTCAACACCCATAACTTGCTGGGCCACCTTCTGTAGTCTTGCCACCACCACCTTAGTCACCAACTTTCTATCTATATCTAGCAGTATTATTGGCTATCAGTTCTTCCAATCCTCCCACCTTCCTTTGTTCTTATAAAGCAGCATCACCAGCCCAAGATCCTGCTCTCCCACCCACCTCCCTGTCTATAGAATAAGGTCGCACAATGTTGTCATCTCTTCCAACACCCCTGGGACTCCAACCATTCACTTCCAAAAGTCCCAGAGCAGACCATCCTCTCCAGGTGCCATACCTGGTGTTGTTGCAGCAAGAATCTGGTGGATCTCATCCTCCTGTACAGGCATTACCAGGTTACCTAGCCCCTCGACTTATGGTGGGTACCAATCCTCCAATGTTCGGTCAATGACAGCGGTATCCACCCCACCCTCCTCCTCACTCTACAATCCACTCCAATACTCCTTCAGTGATCCAAGAATGTCCTGTACACTATGCACTAGTATACCATCTGAGTTCAACACCCCTTCCCACCATTGCTGTACCCATCTTGCTCTAAGGGCCCTTGTAAGAAACTTGGAAGGCCTCTCTCCTTCCTCCAGATCCTATCAGTAAAGCTGTACTGCCAAGCTCTGTACCCTTGCCTCTTCCTCTTCCTACAGCATCTGTTGTAGTTCCCCAACCTCCATTTTTGCCCTCATTAATCTCCAATCTTCTTCTCCCTCCAACACCATCAGCCTCACCCACTCCTCCAGGAGCCTAGTCAATCTAGTAGAAGCCCAACACACTCTTCGCCTTCTCTGCTTCCCTGCCTCCTTGCCAGCCTCACTTCAGTAAGTCTTGGCCATCTCCTTTATCCTCATCTACTGAACCCCAACTGAGGCACCTTCTCACCACCAGTTCTCCACCCTCAGCTGAATGTCTTTAGCCCACTCATCCCACCGGATCTTGTCATTTAGCAAAGAGGAATTGAGGTGCCAATGTCCAGGCCCATCCCCACTTCCCCCAAAGCACTCTTGTCCCAAAAGCTCCCAGTGATCCGACCATGGACACCATTCTACCTCCAGTGACTTCCAAATATCTAGGCCTCAGCAACTGGCCATCAAAATCCAGTTGATTCTTGTCTCCAAGCCCTCTGCCCAATGTGTATAAACCCTCCTATTCCTCCAGCACTCCCTACCAGTATCTACCAGCACACTTAGTCTTTCTACTTCCTCCCACACCACCAGTTCTCTACTCCTGCTCTCAGCACCTTGTCCTCTATCTGTTCTATCCAACAGTATGTTCTGAACCATATTGAAATCTCCCCCAAGCATATCCACCCCAGCCTCTACAAGAATCCCACTCTCTTGTAAACCTTTCACCCAATCTACATGCTCACTCTGTACAGCAGAGTAGTAACAGGAGCCAACTGTAACTGGCTCCCAGCCTGTATGAATCCACTCACCCCAGACCAGTCTCTCCCCCCAGCTCCTCACATCCTGTATCTCCCCTCTGCCTTTCCGAACCAAAATCCCAACCTTGCCCTTCCAAATCACCACACCTCCCCATTCCTTCATCCATTCCATCTTATCAGAATCATCCTCACACCTGACATTCTGCAAGAGGAAGAGATTGGCCTCCAATCCCTTCATCTAAGTAAAAATATTCCTATGTCAAGTAGTGTCCCATAACCTATTCATGTTCAAAGAAAAAATGTTGGTTGTACTGTTCATAATAAAATATGTTATGTTATCAATTGATCTCTACTGCTCCATGCTCATCTCCTCCTGTGCTATATCCAGATTATGTTCTGCAGCCACCTCCTTCTCTTCTGCCCTCTGATTCTCCAATCCAGCCAGTAGTTCATTCATCTCTCCATCTGCCTTCTCCTCAAACTCCTCTCGGTATTCTAGGCATACCTTCTACCAGAGCTGCAGTCCATGACACTTGTTTCAGCAGTATTCCACCCTCTCCCCAGCAATGACTGCTATCTCTGCCTCCCTCTCCTTATCCACCTCATACCCTTTCTTCTCCAGATACACCATAAGAATTTCTGCCTTCAATGCCTTCATTACTCCATCCCTTTGCAGTATCCTTGCCCAATGCTCATCACTCATCACTCGCAAGTCCATCTCCCCCAACTCTTCTGCTGCCAGGTTATTCATCATTTGATATATCCAAAATAAGTTCCCCACCTCCTTCCCCCTTGGAGTCACCAGCCTCCCTCCATCCAACATTGTAGTATCAGCTCCAGCACTTGCAGACTCATCCCATACCTCTAGGATATCCACCAGTTCCTCCTCTCCAGCTACCACCACCTGTCCCCCATATACCACCTCCAGAACTTCAAATTGCACCCTCTGGGCCCCTCGCATTAGCACATCCTCTACCACCCTGTTTTGGGATACTGGACTATGCCTGATAAGAGGGGTAGGGGTAGGAGAGCTCTCCCTATCCTCCTCCCAAACCTCCAGCATACCATCAGTATACAGGTCATTACTAGGCTTCTCCTTATCCTCCCCTGCCTCCTTCTCATTCTTCCCCTCTCCCTTGCCAGCCCAGACACTTGCTTTGGCATCCCCTGTGCCCTTTACCTTACTTGTATCTCCCAGTGGTCTGTTATTTAGCTTGACCAGTAGCTCTTTCTGTCTCTTATACCCCTGAGCTCTTTCCCACTACTCCTTGGCCACTTGAATCCGCTTTTCATCCACCACCTCCAAGTGTGTTGACTCTACAAAGGCCTCCCAAGCCTTTGCTCATCTCTCTACAGTACTACCCAACTCTTCCAGTGCTTCCAATAAATTCTCCTCCCCCTCCTCACTT